TTCCCTATTTCTGTCCAAGAGGGAGAGAAGGGAGAAAAGACCATTTCCATACATTGCTTAAATCTCTGCCAGAAAACCAGCTTCTTCCAACACACCATTTCAAGATAGAGCCAGCTGCCCTGTTCCCTCGGGTCTTCCTGCTGCTGGCTGCATGGGTGCTGTGCTCAGTACAGATTGCCCCTGATGGCAGGACTCTGCTTTGCCGTAGGTTCAGCATCGCTGCCTTCACCAAATACGACCCAGTAGCCCCTGCAGTGACGTTCACCATGTTCTCAGGTAAGATGGAGAATGCCATCTTCCCTACCTGGCTGTGCAGGTTAGAGATAATCAACAACCTGACAATGGCAAGCCAGAGGGAGATCATCGGCTGTAGCAAATATAATAAATAGAGTAAATGCAACTGTTTTCTGACTCTTACTTCTGTCCATTCTATCTCTTTGATTCCAGCTGCTGGATCTGGTGCAGACGCAATGCCACTCTCAATGCCAATAATCGCTGGAATTGTTGTGGGATTTCTCTTGACACTTGCAGCTATTTTTGCTTTGGTCTACTGGAAACAGCTCAGAGCAAAGAGGTGAGGATAAGCTATCTCTTGCCTGGTGGATGCCGGCTGAGAAACCGAAACTTCAGTGCCAGGCCAGGAGGAAGAGCAGTAAGAGGGTATAAAATGCAATTTAAGCAAACTAGGACACCTGCTAGTGGAGCTGTGCCTGGCAAGCACAGAAGCAGAAGGCAGAGGGGAGAGGGGAGCTGCCCATGTGCAATTAATTCACAGAACGCTACATGTGTGCAAGGCAGTGTGCCTGATGTAAGCCGCCTGCTCAAGCGCTCCGTGAGCCAGCAGTACACAATACACTCACACTATCTGTCCCTGCACTGCAGGGAAGAGTAACGTCTCCCATGCTTTGATTCTAGAACCAAGAAGAGCAGCCTGCCCCAGGAAATGGTGACCTACAGCTTGAGGTGAGTGCTGGAGTCTTCCCTCTCTGCGTGTCCCCACTGCAGGTCCCAGAGTCCTTCACCTATTTCCTTTCTCATGCTTTGACTCAGGAAAAATCCAACTCTGTCTCCTCTCCTTCAGTTATTTTTTAAATCTTAGGCTTTCAGTATTTTTTCAGTATTTATTGCCCAGCTCCATTCCAAGTCAATGGAAGTGGAAATGCATTGTCCAGACCTCCTCTGCAAGGCTTCTGCAGTAGGAGAATATCCTCATCATCCCAAAATCCCTCCCAATATTTAAACAATGCTCTGTTGGACGCACTTCCCTGGGCAATGATGTGGGCTATAAACCATCCCTCTGTGCGTGCATCCAGGTACTGCAGGTCTCAAGGCTGGGCTGTCTCACTGGCCACCTGATTGGCCTGCCAGACCTCTCAATAGCTAAGGCAAGTTTTCCTCTGGACTTCATTTCATGCAGAAACGTCCATCGGCCAATTCCCATACAGAACTTCAAACAGTACTATGAGATGAAGACAGCAAGTGCTAACCACGCTTTTTTCCAGGAGTTTGAGGTGAGATGAGACTCCTGCTAGACATGAGACTTAACATCCCCTCTAGGTAGCTCATGCCCCAGCTGTTGGGTGGTCTGTACGGACTTCTCATCTCCAGAGACAGTAACCCATTTCTCTAGCAATCCAACCACACTGCTAGGCAATCTTGGAGGCTAAAGACTGGATGGACCAAGTGATCAGGCAATTCCTTTGCTCAAAACCTCTTTTGTTCAAGTTCTGGTAGAAACATGTGTTGTCTGTGGCATGAGGTGAACTAGCACTGTCCAGAGCTGCTGGTGCGCAAAGCTAAGGGTGCCAGGCCTGAACTGGAGGCAAAGATACTGAGTGGTGTTGCAATGAGATCTGCCTTGACAGTGTTAGAAAAGAGCATGCAGCCAAAAGGAAGGTCGAGGAGCACCCTCAGAGCTATAGGGCCAGGCTGTGAGATTCACCTGGCTAGCTTCACCGGCTCCCACTGCCAACATCTGCAGGCTCTGAATTGTTCTGCTGCCAGCACCTTTGAAAGTCCCACCAGTGATTTCAAGCCCTCCTCACAACACCCTTCTCTGGCCTTCTGAGTGAGGACAGAGGCAGAAGCAGCACAAGAAGTTTCTGTTTCCTCAGCACAAAATGCTCTGAGCTTCTTGGCAGATTTCTGATTTCTGGGAAGGTTTTTTTTCCCCAATACTTGTTCTTGGGCTTGTTTTCTTTTAAATACAAACAGTGCTGTTGGTAATGGCGCTGGGAAAAGCCACCTCTGGCTCAGAGTATACAGGCTATCCTGAGGGAGTAGAGAAGTTCCCTGTGCATAGGTGACCCTCTTGAACCACCAGACACAGCCGTTGGCCATGAGCAGGGAGCTGGGTTGGCCAGGAGCTCTCCAGAGAGACACTTGTGCTTATCCTCTCCCTTGTCCTACAGGAGCTGAAGGAAGTTGGGAAGGAGCAGCCGAAGGTGGAGGCCGAGCTACCAGCCAACATCTCCAAGAACAGATATCCCCACGTGCTGCCCTGTAAGTGCTGTCTCCTCCCTCTTCCCCCCAGCATCCAGAGCGGGAGTTCATGCTGCAACGTACAGGGACGGGCTCACCTTGCATCGCTGCAGGGTTCACAGTGCCTGGCTCCTCTCCTGGGAGAAGGAGTCTTGCAAGGGGCTTCACTTTCCCTTTTCCTGGTGGAGACTCAAGGCTTAAGGGTTGAGCCAGGGCTGAGCCACCAGCCTCCTCAGCTCCTCCAGGAGGCTGCTTGGCAGGTGCTGGGTGAGCCCAGCTTGGGGATGGGTCCCAGCTGGAGACCAAAGAGGGACCATGAGTGTCCCATGGCTTCTCTGATAAGCCTCATGATACCAGCTCTGCTTTCTTACCCCCCTGCTAACCCAACTGGCAGGCAATGCTCACCTCTCCAGGGAGGAGGTGCCTGGCCGAGCACAGAGTCTCACTGCTGGCTGTGTATATGGAGCTAACAGAGCTGCTGGGGCTTCTCCTGATGTGTTACCCAGGTGAAGAGGAGATGGCCATGTCTTGGTGAAGGGCTACCTTGGGGGGTCATGTGTGTATGGTCTCTTTCAGATGATCACTCTCGGGTCAAGCTGAGCCAACTCGGGGAGGATCCACACTCAGACTACATCAATGCCAACTTCATGCCTGTGAGATCCTACTTGCCTTCCCCACAGAGACATGGCCATGGGGCACCATCAGAGAAACTCTGCCTGGATTGAGGTTGTGAGGGCTGGTGGGCAAGAGCTGCCACTGAAGCCACAGCTGGCACAGACTGGCAAGGAGTTGGGGGTCAGGCGGAGATGCATAGTTGCCCTTTAGCAGGGATTGATGGAAATCGTCAGATGGCAAGTGCTGTGAATGCAGAGGTGTGAGTGTGGGGAGACCGGCAAGGCTTTCTGCTTTCTTCTTGAGGACTATCCTTTTCCCATCTCTCCCAGCTTACTGCCCCATCTGTCTGTCTGCTCTTTCTCCTTCTGGTCTGTGCAGCTGCATTTGAACAACCCCGGAGCTGTTCCCACATCCCCCATCCGGGAGATTTTCGCAGGTAACAGGCAGAGCACACAGCATGCACGTGCAGGTGTGTGGATCCACGGGGCATGTGTGTGTCAAAGGGGCAAAGGCAAAGAAGCAGCATGAGACCTTGCATGCTCACCCTACCTTCAGCAATGACTGGGGAGCACAAGAAAGACCCAGATCTGTCTTTCCCTGGTTAGGCTGAATGAGGAACTGCTTGGAGGGAAACAGCGGGGATCACGTCTTTATTCCAAATATGTAGAGAGCATGTGTTGGGCAGCACATGCTTCCTGTGAAATCAGCTGCCTCCGAGATCAGCTGCCTGGGAACCGTGCCCGCCTGGGCTAAGGGCACGGGCGTTTCTCCCTCTGCCGCAAAAGCAGACCAGACACTGACTGTCCCAGGGCAGGATCCACTTGCCTCAGCAACTTGCCAACTCCTCCTGTCTGCCTCTTGCTCAGGGCTACACATCCCAGCAAGAGTTCATTGCCACCCAGGGGCCCCTGAAGAAAACTATAGAGGACTTCTGGAGGCTGGTGTGGGAGCAGAACGTCTGCAACATCATCATGCTGACAGTGTGCATGGAGAACGGGCGGGTAGGTCGGCACCACTGGACTTCCACATGCCAGACCCAGCCAAGCCCAGACCTGGTCATGTGAGTTGAGCCCAGGGCTGGGTTTGTGCCCTCCACCAGCCCCTGAGCAGATGTGGCTCCAGGGTGAGCACGGGCCACGCAGCTTCCCCGACAGGCAGTCTGGGGGGAACAGAGGCTGATGTGTGCAGCTCAGCATTAGCTTGGGCTAGGAAAGGGCAGAAGTGGAGCTTAGCTGGAACCATGCCCATCACCCTCAGATATTTCTGCAGCATCTGAAACTACCATTTGCCTCTGGATGAGACACCTCACATGGACTGTTCCTCTAGTCTCCAGGGATGATGAGACCCATGCAGGTCCTTTTCTCTGAAGGAGGCTGAGATCCAAAGAAAGGGGAGATGGGGCAGTGCTGTGCAAAGCTCCTGGTGGGAAGGGGAAGTACCCCTGCCTGCTCCCCAAGAGCTCCCTGCTCAGCTGCTGCTCTCCAGATGCTCCCAGGGAGCCAGAAGGTCACCCAGGAGGACCTGGGGCCTCTCTGGCCTCACTGGGACCCCATCTTGCCTGTGCTCTAGGTCCTCTGTGATCATTACTGGCCATCCGAATCTGCCCCGGTCTCCTATGGGCAGGTCCAAGTGCACCTGCTGACGCAGAGCAGCTCCGAGGAGTGGACCATGCGCGAGTTCAAACTGTGGCATGTGAGTAAGGACCCAAGAGGACGGGCTCAGGAATCTGTCAAGGGCTGGGCGTTTGCATGGGATGCAGTGGCATTTCTCTTTGGCGGTGGTGGCATAATTTCCTTTCCCTGCCATTAGCAGGGTTCAAAGACCCAATCCCCTGCAGACCAGTCTGTCACTGTCAACGTGTATCACCCCTGCTGTCCACCCTTGCTCTCTCCTTTCCATGTCCCTGCACTGGGACACAGCCTGCAGCTGCAAGGGTGCGTTCCCCGGCAGATAAGGCAGGTCTCCTCCTTGCCACCTCCACGTGCCTCACCATGGCAGGGGACCATGGGGGAGGACAGGGGAGCAGGAGCCACCAGGCAGTGCAGAAGACCTGGCATTGGCTGTTCCCTGCAGCTGAGCCGGGTGTCCCCAAGACCCCGGGTGCTCCCAGGGCCGCGGGGTGCATGCGTGCCCCTGTCCCAGTGGGCTGCACACTGATCACCAGCATCCTCCCTGGCAGGAAGGTCTCCAGGCAGAGCGGCACGTGTCCCACCTGCACTACACAGCGTGGCCCGACCACGGGATCCCGGAGTCCACAACTTCCATTATGACCTTCAGAGAGCTGGTCCGGGAGCATATCCAGAGCACCAAGGATGCGGGGCCAACCCTTGTGCACTGCAGGTGAGGCTCTGCTCCGTGGGATGGCAGGAGAGGACGATGGGAGAGGGCATGGGGGACAAGGGTCCTACTCGTGCCCAAACTGGGAGGGAAAGCAGTACCCAGGAGACACAGCTGGTCTGTGGAGAGTCTCCTGCTTGGGCACTGGGGATTACAGTTCTGGTTGCAGCCTGCCCCCCAGGCCCAGGGGACGGGGCAGCTGGAGATGGTCAGCACCAACCTAGGGCAGTCCGAATGGCTCCTCGACTCCATGCTGTGCTGGGACCAGTGCCCCAGGGTGCAGCATCTGGGACCCATGTCTAGCAGCGGGAGGGGAGCCCATCGGCTGTGAAGTCAGGTGATGTTTAACCCTTACTGTCTGTGGTCTCAGTGCCGGGGTGGGCCGAACTGGCACTTTCATTGCCCTGGACCGGCTGCTGCAGCAGATGAAGCAGGAGAAGGTGGTGGACACGTTTGGTGTTGTTTATGCCTTGCGCATGAACCGTTACCTGATGATTCAGACGCTGGTAAGACCTCTGCTCCCTCTTCCCCCAGGCCTCTTGCTCCATGGCGTAAAAGCTAGCTGGGCTGGCAGACAGATGAGCTGGCCAGCCAGCCCCAGCACCCCCAGGCTGGTCCCCAGCCTGACACTGTGTCACAGTGCCACTCAAAGCAGCAGCTCAGCTGGAGTGGAAATTGTTCGGCTGTGGGGGTCTCCAGCAGCTTCATGCCCTGCCAGACCCACAGCAACAACATGCAGAGTCTCAGAGCCCTCCCAGGAGGCTCAGAAACACCCCAGAGTACCTAGGAGCAAGATCAGACCCTTTGCAGACAATTCTTAACCCACACCATGTCGTTGGCCTGTGATGGCCACAGCCCATCTAATATTTCCAGTGTTCAGGGTTGGGACAAGGTGTCAGTGCTACCCTTCAAGACAGGCAGACAGACGGACCCAGTGGAGGGATCCAGGGGCCCTGAGACTGAAGTAGCCGGGGCCTTTTGGGCATGAATGTAGGGCTTTTGAGGCATGAATGTAGGACACCCTCTGCCCCACTAGGCAGTGCCGTACCCACCTTTTCATGCTGTCTGCATGGTGCAATGCTCTACATTGCTGTCTGCCTTTGCCTTCCAGTCCCAGTATATTTTCCTGCACAGTTGTATCCTGGAAAAGATCTTGGAGGAACCACTCCTGGGTTTATCAGGGACAGAGAGGTAAGGGCCTGCTGTGTTTGCCTGCCACTCTACCCACCCTGATCCACAGCTCCTTCAGGGAGCAACGTGGGATCCTGACCCCAGCTTGAGCCTTGGCTCCAGGACAGAAGGATGGGGAAGCCCAGCCAGCCATCCCACCCGGTGTTTTGAGGGGGGGCAGCCCAGGGCTGGTTGTTCACTGCAGCATGGGGAGCCCAGCCCAGAGTTAGGTGTGAGTCACTGGGCACACTGGGAGGACTTGGGGGACCAGATCCTCCTCTCCTCCAGTGCCAGTCTCCCGGGCTATACCAATGCGAAAGAGCTGCAGAGCTGTCCTGGGGAAGGCATTTCAATCAGCCCCTGGCTTCCCAGCCCACAGTGATGCCCTATAGATGGGTTCAAACTGGAGGGGCTCATGGCAGCTGGGTGGCCTTGGGATGTCCCTTCTAATGGAGACCAAGAAGAGGGAGCAGGGTCAGGCTGAGCATGGCTTTGCCCACCTACCGCGTTGTCTGAGGCTACATCTGGAGGTCACATATCTCTCTTTATAGTAAAATTCTCTCCTCCCTCATTCAGAACAGCATGCCTTTGTCCTTGCTGCATCCTGGGAATGGGCCCTGGGTTGTGCCACACCTGAGACCTGCCTTTGTCTAGGGGAGAGCAGGTTGGCATGGGCCAGAGCTGAGCTGGGGACCTGCAAGGGCCCCAGCATTTGAGCAGTGAAGGTGCCTGTCCACCTCCTGCAGACACAGCTTGGATGCTGCTAATGTTGCTCAACCTCACCCTTACCCCCAGTTTCTCTCCCCAGGTCCTGCCCCATCCCGCTGAGAAGCTTTGCTCAGCACTACGCCCAGAAGGCAGCCAAGTCCCATGTGGGCTTCCTGAGGGAGTACGAGGTGAGAGCTGTCCGGGGCAGGGTGCAGGGAGCGCTGCCATGGCCATATGCACTGGAGGGACCTGGGGAGCGATAGCACCTGGTCAGGCTGGGGACACCCAAGAAGTGCCACCTGAGTGGGTCCCATGCCCCCGTTTCCACGTGCCTGGCTGTCCTGGAAGTGTCCCCTCTCCATGGCATTGCGTCCCCAGGCACCTAGCTCCCTCACGCATCCTGCACCGATCAGGGTCTGTCCATGACCCCCTCCTTCCCAGACCCCATACAGGGTAGGGACCTACCTGAACACCATTCTCCTACAGAAAGATGCAGCCATGTCCTGACAGGAGCAGACCTGGCAGCCCACCCCAGAGATGGTCACACACCTCTCCTAAGGCTTCTCCATGTGCAGCTCTAACTATCCCCCTGCCAAGGCCAGGCATCCTCAGGAGTCCCCAGTTCTGCCTGCTCCTCCTGACCCTTCCTCCACTCTCTTTCACTCTGGCAGACCCTGCTAGAGGTTGTCAAGGAAGAAGCCAGCTCTGCAACACCATCTTCAGGCAACCAGCAGACACGGCCCTCTTCCAGCATCCTCCCATGTAAGTGCTGTGACACCTTGCATCCTCTTCCTTCCTGTACCTCTGTGGAGCCAGGCTGGACCAGGGCCGGTGCTCCACAGTAAAAGAAAATATTTTGGCACGCTGCAGTGAGTCCACCAGAAGGCTACCAAGGTGTTTTGGGGGTGGATCCCATGATGTATGGGACTAAGATAGGTGGGTTTGTTCAGCCTGGAGGAGAGAAGGCAAGGGGAGATCTTATTGCTATCTTCAACTACCTGCTGGGAGGGCACAGAGAAAATGTAGAGTCTTCTCAGAGGTGCACCATGGAAGGTCAAGAGGCAACAGGGATGATTTGGAAGGGTTATCCAGTATAAGGAAAAAAGAATTCCCATGAAGGTGGCCAAACACTGGAACAGGAGCCCAGAGCCTCTGCAGGGTCTCCATCCTTGGAAATATGCAGATCTCCATTGGCCCAGACACTGAGAAACCTGCGCTACACATATCTGCTTTGAGCAGGACGTTGGGATAGAGACCTGCAGATATCCCTTCCCACCCACAGAAAAGGATTCCCTTCCAGCATCTCCAGAACAAGCTCCAGGGCTGTCTTTTGGGGACCAGTGTCCATGAGCTGGACAAGAGCACTGCAGAGGGGAGGACTTTTGCAGAGAAACAGTGAATGGGGTATTGGATCTGTGCAGCTGTGCAGAGTCTGTCAGTCGGTCTGCAGGAGCTGTGTGAGTGCAAGGCTGCTCTGGTTCTCTCCACCTCCCAAATATTTTGCAGATGATCGCTCCAGAGTGAAGTTTTCCCTTCTGGAACAGGGCCCTTTCTCAGGTCTCCTGCAGGTGTGGCGTGTCCCGGTGAGTCGTACCCCCAGCTGCAATGCCCACCCCCATGCCTGGGTCCTGCCACGGCTGTTTCCCATCCTCACACAGTCCCTGCTGCCTGGTCCCTGCACTGCTCCACCAGTCACTGCTGCTGTGACCCTGTGTGGACCAGAGGGGACTGTGGGGACTGACAATGTGTCTTGCCTCGCTCCTGGGGCCCTGTCCGGTTTGGGCTGTCCCCACTTCCCTCCCTCAGTGCTTTCTCCTCTCTCTTTGCCTCCTGACCTACTGAGCTTCCCTTCTTTTCCTGGCCTCTCCTGCAGCTGCCTGGGCTGATGGCGCACCTGTGCCCCCCTCTGCAGCAGGAGAGTGATGTTCTCATTCCCCACCCAGGGCTGCAGCTCCAGCAGGGAGTATCTGGCTGTCCAGGGGCCTGACAAGTTGACCATGGAGGAATTCTGGACCCTGGTGTGGGAACAGGACGTTCACACCATCCTAACGCTTCTCCCATGGCAGGAGAAGGGGGAGGTAAGGCGCTGTGCCTGCCTGCACCATGGCAGAGCAGGGATCTGTTTAACGGAGCTGGAAGTTAGCATAGCTCCAAAACTTGAACTCTCATCACTGCCTCCTGAAGCCTGAGTGCAGATCCAGCTTGGCTAAAGCTGAACCTTTCCTGTGTCAAAGTCCTCCCACTGCTTGTCATGGGAGACAGGTTCTTTCTGCCCACCATGCGGTCCATGGCTGTGGACTGAGCTGGTACTCTTCGAGCTGCATCTCTGTGGCACCCATGGCCTCTGTCCATCCGAGGTGGAGAGCGTTTGCTGAGTAGGTTCCCACTGCCAAGCAAGCTCTGTGTTAACAGGGAAGCTGGCTGCAATCTGCTGTCATTTCCAAAAACTCCCCCAGGGTTTAGCTAGGGGATGAACTGACATGGAGTGATATTGGGAGTGCTCTTGGTCCAACCCCATCACAGACCCCTGTGATGGTGACTGATCTGAAATATGGCAAACATCAACGTTGAAGCCAAACTTGCTGTTGCTCACAGGTCCCAAGTGAGGTGTGCTGGCCCTTGGAAGGAGACTCTCTCTGCACAAAGATGCTGACCATCCAGTGTGGCACGGAGAAGCTTGTCTACGGATGGAGGTGTATCCAGCTCAAAGTGAAACACGTACGTGTTGATGGGGCTGGCCTGGCTCCCACTGCCTGGGATGTTCTTCACTGCTAGCAAATGGGTCTGTAGGGGCAAGGGCTGAAAGGTCCATGGAGACTTGTCTGAGCTGCAAGCGCAGAGTGCCAGCAGTACACAAATGCAGGAGGGAATCTAGACTGCAACATCCAGAAGAACATCTGCTGAGTGGACATAAGAGATGCACGGGGGAGGTTTGGAGGCTTCCCCCACCCCTTGCTGATAGGTCTTTCTGACCCTCTTTGAAAAGGCCCACACAGTTCTCAGTCTCCCTCTCGAGGGGCAGGTCAGGGTGCCCTGGGGAAGGAGAGCAGGTTGCCAGAGGCACCATGCCCGCCACGTGGGCAATGCCCCAGCAGAGACTGCCTGGGCAGCTTTACAGAACCTAGCAATTACCTCAGCAAAGCATCTGACAGCCTAAGGATCAGAGAGCTGGGACCCCTCTGCATCCAAACTCACCCATCCCTCCCCAAAAGCCATGTCAACTCTTTATGTCTCACCAGGAGAAGAAAGCAAAGGAGAGGCAAGTACAACGGTTCCTATACACGCTTTGGAGCAGCAAGAAACAGCCAGATGTCCAGAGCCTGGTGGAGCTCCTCACCGCTGTCAGACAGTGCACGCCCCACCGAAAGAGAGCCGGTCCTATCCTGCTGCACTGCAGGTACATCACGTTACTGCTCCATCCATAGGCAGTTTCCCAGAGCTGGTACCCAGCAGGCTGCACAGCACCTTGGCATGGCCAGCAGCAAGCCTGCGCCCTCCACCAAGGACCCCAAGGTCTTGGGGCATGTTGAGAGTAGGCCCATGGGAGCCAGGGAAGCTCTGGTCTTGGGAGGTCAGATGAAGCAGTGCTCTGCCAAGCACATGGGAGAAAGGAGGGCAAACAGGGCTGGGCCAGGGGCAAGCGTGGATGGAGCAGGGCTTCCTGGGCTGAGATGCCCAGACCATCCCTGGGCTGACTGCTAGGATCCTGGGAGCAGCCCTGACATCCTCATCTCCTTGCAGCCAGGGAGAGCTCACAGTCCCACAGGAGCCGACACAGCCGGCACATCGGCAGAGCTGGCTTGGGTGAGGGATGCACGCTCAGCAGGGCAGGGTAGGCTGGGTCTCCAGGCTCTGTCAATGGGCACTCTGGGGTCCCGTCCCCCTGGTCAGCTCAGGTCTCCCTGCCACCTAGACCAGTGCTTGCACTCCCCTATCCCCACCATACTCAGTTGCTGCATGTTTTCTCATGGGGCTTCTGACTTCTTGGGCTGGCGTCCACTTCCAAAGAGGATCAGTTCAGCCTGGCCTGGCATCAATGACCCTCCCTTGTCCCTTGCAGCGGTGGTGTGAGCCAAATGGGGACACTGATCTCCCTGGATTGCCTGTTGCACCAGATGAAGGCTGAGAGAATCGTGGATGTCTACGGGGTGACCCTCCAGCTGACGAGAAGCTGCTGTCTCATGACCCCAACGCTGGTAGGTGGGAAGGAGGAAGGGTGGTGGGCCAGGCAGAACAGGACATTGATGCTGAGCTGCCTGGAGCTGGCAGCATGCTGCCCACCCCCCAGGTGCTACCTGCCACCTGGGAGCCTGTCCAGCCTATGCAGGGATTTATTCCGTTCTTCCTCTGCCAGCTACTGAGGGCTAAGAACACTGTCTTTTCCCAGGAAAGGGCTTTCCATCTCTTCAGTTCTGGAGTTAAAACAGGTTAAATTGCATGTAAGCTCACAATAAATGCAAGGCACTCTTCCCATTCTGCCCTGGAAAGCATGAAGCACTGGTTTCATCCTACATGACAAACCTGCCTGCTCATCCCTGGCCTCTGGACACGGCTGTCAGCCTGGGTACCCAGAATCTGCTGGGTTTCCCCTTGTCCGGTGCCTTTCCCTGCTGCATCCCCCACACTCAGAGCCTGCTCCCAGTCCCTGCCTGCTGCCGGCGCTGGGGCCGCGCCAGTGGGACACCCTGCCCCATTTGCAGCTGCCCTGCAGCCACATGGGCTATGGCACTGTCTGATGGTGCCACAGCCATATCCTGCCATGCTGTGCCAGCCCAGCCCAGCCTCACAGGCCTCCAGCATGCCACTCCTGATGGGTGCTGCTGGCACAGATGCCCTCTGGACAGCGCTTTCATTTGCTGCAACCACTGAACGAGCTGATGCAGCATCCCTGGAAACCCTCCCCACAGGGGACAGCAGAAGTGGGGCAGATCTCTCCAGGGCTTCCCAGCTGCAGAGTCGCCTGCAAGCAGCTAATCGCGTTCTTAATTAATATGAACCATGCGCGTGGTGGGAGCCAGAGGAGGGCAAGGCGTCTGCTGCCCCTGCTTCAGAGCTCCTTTGTATTTCAGCAGTGGTCTTGCCAAGCAGAGACACAATGTGCCCATAAAGGCACAGCAAGCACCAATCAAAAGCCGCTGCCCCACTGAGGGGGGGCAGCAGAGGCAGCTGCCTCCCCACCTTGCCGCGAGCGGTGGTTGCTCTGATCCCAGCACGTCCAGCAAAGGACAGGCAGGGCTGCCCTCCAGCCCCACACCACTCCCATGTGGCTGCCAGCCTCCTCCATCACTGTGGGGGCTTACCAGGACCCCTTTATCTCTGGCAGGGGCACGCTGCTGTCATGCTGGGGGCATCAGCTGATTTTTGGGGGGGATTTAGTAGCCAAACAAGGGGGAAGATGAACCTTTGAGGGATGTCCATGGATAACTGCCAGGTATTTAAGCACCCCCAGCTCCAGCACGGCGTGTGTCTCTGGGGATGTACTCTTGCATTTGGCCAGGCATTGAGCGTGCCTGGTCTGAAGTCAATCCTGGGCTGTCACTCCAGATTTCACAATCAGGCTGGGCTCATTGAAAACACACTCTGGTGACCTGGAACTGCAGCCATTGTGTGATCTGTGGCTTTCCCGGCCCTTCAGTGGGGCTAAACCCACCGCCGGCAGGGGAGGAGGCTCCTCGTGACTTACAGCTTAGCCAGCGCATTAGCAAGCTGTTCGGGGGCCCCTCTGTCGATCCCTAATCCCCCTGTCCTGGCTACCATGTGATTTCGACCCACATCATTTGCAGGCTGTCCCTGCCCTCCAGCTTTGTGCATTGAGTACAACTCCATTTACCTTTCCCACATCTTGCCTTTCCCAGAGACCTGCCATGGAGGTGGTCAGTCCTGGGTGTTTTGTAGCCTAGCATCATTTTGGAGCAGCCTGGCATTTGAGCAGAACCTCATATCAAATCCACAGTGGACCTGAGACCTCTGGACCCACGTTTGGTACTGATGGATCATTGTGATGATCTTAAAAATAAATGCAACTGGACTAAAGCCACCCAGATCTTTTTGTCTGCCTCTGAGGAGAGCTTGCAGAGATCTACCTGATCCACTGTCAGCACTTGACGCAGGTACACTGAGACTACCACCAAGGGAAACTCCTGCTCCAGAGGTCTTCCCTCCTGGCCTCAGGTTACTGCCAGACCCTGTGCACTCCAGCAGGACAGAGCTCTCCCCGCTGGAGTTGCTCTTCAGTCTTGTTTTGGATGCAAACACCATGGCACATCCAAAAGCCACCAGGGCACTTTGAGGAAGTCAGATGACACTGTTTCTCCCCATCTCACATGGGGACATTCCTCTTATGCCCATCACGGTGCTGAGGAAGCAGGAGGAAGCAAACATGGTGCAACTACAGCTCCAGGCCTGATTCTACCTTTCTGGGCAGCTGTGGAAACACAGGACAAACAGGGACCACTTGGGACAACAAATCCTGCTCTGCCATCAGACACTCCTAGTTAATTAGGATCTTTTAAGGCAAATTGGAGGGTTAGTCCTGCAACTCGGAGGTCTCTGTCAGAAACCTGACTCCAGACCCCCCTTTCTCTCTTGCAGGACCAGTACATGTTCCTGTACACCTGCATCCGGGACATCATCGCTCAGAAACACCCTTAACACCGCTTGGCACTTCCTGGCACCGTCCTGCCCTCCCCCTCTGCGGGGTCCTGTCCAGAGCCAGGAGCTGGGATGAGAGCGCCATGGGGCTCCTGGCACAGAGCGAGTCCTGCAGCGAAAGGGGACCTACGTCGGCACTGTCACCAACACATCCCATGTGGTGTCAGCAGTGACATGGGCTCTCCTGAACAGATGGGCAGTGCTGTCCTGCCACGCACCACTGCAGCCACTCAGTGCAGACATGGCAAGGGGCTGGGCGGGATGCTCCCCTGCTTTGGCCATCTCCTGGGATTCCTGGTGCCTGGAAGGTTTGTTAACCCCACTGCAGGATGCATTGCCGGCTGCGGGAGCTCTGCAGTGCCCTTGCCCCTCAACGCAGAAGGAGCAGCCCTGGGCTCGCTCCTGGACAGCCCTGGTGCCCGCAGGCTGCTGAGGTCTGATGCAAGCACTGGGCACCAGGCGTGTTGAGGTCTCAGACGCTGCTGTGGGCAGAGCATGGTAGGAGCTGGCTTGTCTTGGCTGGTGGATCAGTCTTAGGCACAAACAATAAACAGCCCTAGGAAAGAGCGTGCTTGTAAGGGTGGGCTGGATTTTTGTGGGGTCTCAGCGATGCCAAGGCCTTCCCCTGCGGCAGCACAGCAGCCACTCCCAAAAGGGCAGCTGTGTCCCTAGCCATGGGCAGCAGATGGGGTACCCTTGAGCACTCCAGATCCTGCAGCCCATGGCACACAGCAGCTTCTGCTCACTCTCATCTGCTCCTGTTATCGAGGCAACACTTCTGCAGTGAGCCTCCAACCCACCCATGGCTTTATGAGGATGAGACACTTTTTCTGATGAAGCCTGAGCTTGAAGTTATGAACCTGCTGGCTCCCAAGAGCCAAGGACCAGGGCAAAGCCACCTGGTCCGCTGACATGCTGGCAAGCAGCTGGCAGCCCTGTGGCTCACTGCAGGGTACTGGCTACTGCTCCAGGAATCGGGTTGTCCATGTGGCCACATGTAGAGACCCTGCTGCTCTGCAAGCAGGGATGGCCATGCACAAGCTGAAATTGCAAGTAGTGACTTGGTTCATTGGGCTCCAAGTGCGGGTCAGAAGGAAGAGTTAAAAAAAAGCAGATGATTTCACGAGCATATTCCTGGGGTAGAAAAAAATGTATCTGGGAACCCATTTACCTTCAGGCAGCATGGGGTTATGGTAGAGCCTCAAAGCAGCACCCCTGTCCCAGTCTGGGCCCACACTCCTATCCACAATACCAGCCCTGCGGGAGCTGCCTTGGAGTGGGGTGAGGAGACACAGCAGCTATGATGAGGAGGTCCCAAGGCCTACTGCAAGGAGTAGACAGCCCCAGGTGGGGGACTGAGCTGGCCACTCATCCTACTGCCCCTGTGTTTCCACAAACAGTTTCTCCCTCTTCCAAAAGAAGGATCCTGCTGTCTGCATCCCAATGGGACACCCAGGGCAACTACGCATGGGCAACCATCAGCCATCCCAGCACTGGGATGATGCTTCAGTTGCAACTGGGTTTGATGCCCAGCACTTTTTCCCCCTCTCCCCAGATAATGTTGTTCTCTTTAGCAGTTGCTGTGCCCACTCAACTCCCGTCCCCACCACCCACCGGTGCAGTGCAGCTGCCAGCCACGTGTTCAGGCAGGGGTGGGAACCTGCCTGTTGTCCTTTGCACTCATGTCCCACGTGTAGACGCAGACAGTGCACAGCTAGGTAGCAGCAGTCTCTCCCTCCATGCACACTATATCTTCCATACTGTAGGCAGGGCTTCTCTGCTGCTCAGTCCCCTCCGCAATCCTCCCCTTCCCTGCATCCCCTGCTCTGCTCCCAGCTCCAAGCTGCAGCAGTCATGGGCTAAAGGAAACCAAGATGGTGCAGAGCCTTAGCCCCACACAGGGCTGTTTTTTCCCCCACTGTTTCCCCCCACCCTGGGCACTCTGTGTGTGCAATCTTTTCTTCACCACAGGTCAGAGCATCCCGAGTTGCCCATGACCGCCCTCATCCACCCTGACCTGGATTGTCACAGATCCAGTTGCTGTTTGAAAATGTTTCCATGTGACTAGACCTTTGTCCCAGGGCCACCCACCAGCATGATGTGACAGGTCACTCGCCGCTCAGCCTGCACAAGTGACCATCGCAGTGACTTGTACTGTTTCTTTCTTCTGGTTGGATGCCAACATGCCAAGAGCTCTCCAGGAGGACGTATGAATACTATCAACATGAAAAAGGCCTGCAAAACTCAGTGGATATTCTTATGTGCACAAAAGGATTTATGATGTCTTGGGAGGAGTCTGGCACTTGCCCATATGCTCACAGGAAGCCTGGTGGGTTTATGACTTTCATGTAACCAGTAACTCCTAAACTATGCTTGTGCTGCAGGATAAGTGCCACAGCAAGGAAATGTTTGCTCCCAGCAACGCCCCAGCCCAGTAGGCAGGATTGGTGGGGCCAAGCTGTTTGCTGCTCATGAGGTGCATGCAGTTTGGAGCAGCAGCCACCTGCCTTGTTCTTCTGGAGCACCATGGGAGAACACACTGGTGCATGCTGGAGGTCTGACGTAAAACAAGCAAGCTGCAAAATCAAGTCTGGTCCAAATAATGACATGCCCATTGACTGTCCAGAGTTTTGGCTGATAGACTGGTGAAGTTTAGACCTGCCCAGCAGCACAGAAACTCACCGGTATTGGGGGGTTTATCCCAAGAGCCCCGAAGAAGGAGCAGTCTCAAAGACCATGTGGTCTGCTGCCACATGCACATGTACCCATCTTTCTTAGTCCTCCATCAGAAACAACCCTGATGTCCAGCTCCAGCCAGCCTTAAAAATAGTTCCTGGGCTACAAGACAGTAGCCTTTCTGCCAGGACCTGCGAGTCCACTCTAACGAACACTGTCCTCAACAAGGACAGTGAAAGTGCTGATACTTCCACACCGGAGGCCCAATCCCATCCACTTGTCGGAGTCCTCTCCTCACTGCCTCAGCCTCAGCCTCAGCACAGCAAAACACACGAAGGCAGAGGTCCCTGCGCAGGAATGAGAGAGGGAGCTGCTGATGTAGGAAAAGGACTGGTGCTCATTCCCTCAAATGGGAGAGACGAACCAGACCTGGATCCAACTCCAGCATCTCCCTGCAGGTGCTGTTGGACACAGCCTGTGGCTCTCATTTGCTATGCATGGCCCAGGAACCCCAGATGCTGAGCACGGTTACGTCTCAAAGGTGTGTGCAGATGCAAGCTTTAGCTTTTAGGATCTTGTTCAAAGTGTGCAGTCTCCACTGAACACTGGCAAGCGGTTGTACCTGTATGTCCCAGCATGGTTTGTGATGTGTAAAACACCTAATGCTCTTAATCTCAGAGGTTTTCAAGAACATCTGTGGAATGCCCTGACCTGCGAAGTGGAACCAATCACAGTGACAGTGAAGATGTGAAGGAGGAGCCATTACCATGAGGTAGCAGGAGCCTTATGAGGGGCACAGAAGCAGGATTATCAGGGGTTTTGCTCTCTAGAGCCTGGCAGTCAGTGTGTGGGGCTCATCCTGGGTGAGGTCGTTGCCCCTTTGGCTGTGCATCACCCACAGTAGCCTGGGGTTCTGCAGAGACAAGCTCTCCCTTGCTCTGCCAAGCACAGCTAACAGGGTCTCCCAACAGCCTGGCCAGGACTGTATCCCCAGAAAGGGGCAGGTGCCAAGAATAAGGAGGGGCAGGAACTCCTCATCCTCTCTTTTCTATTTTTCTGCAATCAGAGCTACCCTGTGGCTTTCAGAGTCATTATGCCTGGGGCTTTGCTCAAAGCCGTATTCCCCATGGAGAGGGTCTCGGTCTGGCTCTACAGCTTGTGGTGCTGGCGAGAGGCCTCAGAATGGGACAGCATTCCCAGGGACTGCTTGTGGGCTCTTGCCTTTCATTGAGAAGAGCAGGACAACATCCACATGAGACAACCTGGCCACCCCCCAGTTCACCCTTAGCTGATGGCAGTGACCGAGCAACATAGGGTATGAGTTCTGCTGGCACCTGCCTCACACCACCTCTCGTCCCAACGGGGCTCAGCTCAGCACATCACTGTCCATCTGCCTTGCCAGATGGACTGCTGCACCAGGATCTTTCTACAGCCCCTTGGGAAAGCGCTCATGGGTCTCCTGTGTGTCCATGCACAGAGATGGCAGTCCCAGCACAGGGCACAGCTACACACAGCCAGGCAGGTCTGATGCATGGACCCAGGGCTTGTGGCACAGAGTTGTGAGGGGTGCTGGCTCTGAGTTGTAAGAAAGCAAGTGAAAGCCACGATGGGGGAGGCATGTTGCTGTCTGCAGAGGTCCCAGAAGTCCAGGAGCAAGTGATCCCACAGCCCTCACATCTGGCTAGCACAACACAGCGGTGCTTCCAGCAAAGCCAGCAGCCAAGGTGAACCTGCAGCCATCTGCAGCTAAAGCACAGCTGCTCTGTCAGGTAGGAAGGGACCTTCTGATCAATGGGACAGGCATGGGACAGGGATTTGTCATGCAAACTGGCCAACAGGTTTCACCCAGTGAGTTCGGTATGGCTGCGTCTGTGGCACAGCCCGCTGCCCTGCGTTTCACGTCCTGTCTAACAGGAGGCCGCCTTGGTGATGATGATGAATTTACGACCTCCCACCCACTGCTGCAGCGGAATCTGGAGCCACAGATGCTTACAGAGGGTGTCATGGGAGCTGCGGTTTGGATGAATAATTTTCCAGCCCTGCAGCTCAGAGACACAAAACCCAGAGGGGGAGAGAGAGACAACAAAACAGTAAAACAAAACAAGCCTCCAGCTCGGGCCGCCCAGCAAGTTCTGGACCGTGCTGTGTTGTTCTTCATACTTAGCCTGCTGCAGTCTGGCAGCATCCAGCCACCACCCTCCTCCATCAGCCCCTGTGCAGAGGTCAAGACCCTGGAGATGAGCAGGACCATGTCCATTTGGATCCCCCCTTCCCATGGCTGCCAGAGCAGGGGCAGACTGGGTTAGCATTGCCAAGTGACAGGAGAGCAAGGGTACCCAACCCTTGGATCCCCTGGGGACCCACAGCCAT